CCATGGGGCCCCCCAGGCCTCTTCCTCGTCCCCTGATCGCAGTGAACCCCCTAAAAGCCACAGGAACACCTTCCTGGCCGCCGCCCCAGGGCCTGTTGGAAGACCCTGCTTGCAGCAGGCACCCCTGCAGCTGCGGGGGGTTGGGGGTGCCTGCCCGGGGCGGGGCCTCACTGACGTGTGCTTTGCATAATGCCCCAGCCCCAGCCCTCCCTCCCTTCCTCCCGGCAGGGGCATCCCTGGGCAGGGGCAGGGTGGGGCCGGTGCCCAGGCCCAGAGAAGTGTCCTCGGAGCAACCTGCTCCCGGGACTGAGCATCGGAACTGCCAGGCAGAGGGCAGAGGGCAGAGGGCAGAGGGCAGAGGGCTACTGCAGGCCCCCGAGGAGCTGGGAGAGTCAGGGGCCTGTCCTGACTGCGCCGGGCCCGGGAAAGGTGGGCGCAGAGGGCGGATGTCCTCCCCAGGGGGTCTCCTTGGGGACCCTCTTCACCCCCTCCAGCTGGGCTGCCTCCTGGAGGCCAGGTCACGGGGTGGGGCTTCTGGCCACAAACGGCGGGGTGGGGGGGGGGTGTGGAGGCCTCCCAGCTCCCCAGATGCTGCTTCCTTCCTCTTTCTGGAAAAGGGGGACCGCCCTGCCCTGCGGGCCCTGGGCACCTGCCCAGCGGCCTCCCCGGAGACCAGGCTCACTCCCTGCCCCCAGGGCCTGGGGGTGGGCGGGGGCAAGGACCGCCCACCCTTAGCCTTGAGCCCCAGGTCCCAGGAGGGCAGAGGTGGGGGAGGGGACAGCGCAGAGGTGTCAGCAGGCAGCCCTGCGTCCCTCAGAGCAGGGTCACAGGGGGCCCTGGAGAAGGTTCCAGCCCCGCTGCCTGGGACACGCCCTCTCCCTTTCCTGCCCCGCAGGTCCCGGGAGGGAGGCAGGGACCCACTCCCCGCCCCCAGCACATTGGCAGGTGCTCAAGTCGGGCCTGGCTGGGAAGGTGTCCGGGTGAAGGGGTGGGCCTTGCTGTCCCCAAACCCTTTAGCAGGAGTCCCCAGCGGCCCTGCTTCTCTTCCCAGCTGTCCCTCGGACCGGCCACTGCCCTGGTCTGGGGACAGGGTAGCCCCAGCTCTCCCCTCAGGGTGGCCCTAGGGAGGGAGGGCTTGGGGGGGGGTGGGGGCTGCAGGGAGGAGAGGGAGGAGAAAGTCGTCGGGGTGGTGGTGGGGGGGCTGGTGGGAGACCACTGAGGCGGGGCAGGGCCTGGGGCTCAGGCCACACAGGAGCCGGCACCCCACCCCACACTCTGTCGTTCCCGGAATGGAGGGCCCCCTGGGGTCTCAGCAGAGCTGCCTGCTGGGAAGTCCCTTCCCCAGCGGCCCCTGGGCCCCTCCCACAGCCCAGCTGTGCCAGCTGCCCCGCGATGGCCCCTGCGGCAGGTGGCCTCCCGCGGCCCTGAGACCCTGGGGGTGGTGGGGTGGGCGTCCACGCCCAGCTGGCGCGGCCCCCCGTCCTGCAGAGGCCCCCTGCATGGGCAGCCCTGGCTCACTGGAAACAGCACTCATGCCTGGACATACACGCCATACAGGGAGCCACACAGACCCCGTGGGGCGGGGGCGGGGCCGTGGGCCTCCAGCAGGGGAGGGGCCCCGCCCGCCTCTGAGCTCCACCTGAGGTCCCGGAGACCGGCCCCCGCAGGCCCTTCTCAGTGCCCCGTCTGGCCGGGAGAAGCACACAGTGGACCCACTCACTCCAAGTTCAAGACTGTGCCCCGGCACTGGGGCCGGCTGAGGGGCAGGTGTCGGCTGAAGCGAGGCTGAGCCCGCAGCCGGCTTACAGGTGAGGGGGCGGGGACTGCCTCCCTTCCCAGTGTCCCAGCAGCTCTGCCAGCCGAGGAGTCTTCTGCCCTTGACGCCTTCGGCCTCCAAAGGCCTCCTCCTGGGGGAGGAGGGACAGTTCCCAGGGCCTGTCCTGCCCCAGCCTGCCCGCACCCCACGGCTGTCCAGGCCTTGGGGTCTGCTCCCCACGTCCCCACGGCAGTGACCTGGTGATGCCCACCCTGCAGTGGCAGGGGCCCAGGTGTACACCTGCCTCTGGATCCTAGCCATGTGCCTTCGGGCAAGTCACCTGTCCACGCCAACCTCCTGGCCTCACCCACAACGGGCCTTGTGCACAGCACCTGCCTCACCCGCGGAGCTGGGACAGAGCCTGGGGACGGGGAGCCTGGTGCACAGTGGGCGTTCAGCGCACGGTGGCTGGGACCTCGGGGGAGCTGCTGTCCGGAGCCGAGGGGTCTGCAGCCCAGCCGGGCTCGGGCTCGGGCTCAGGGCGGGGTCCCAGGAGGCCAGTGGGTCCAAGCAGGAGAGGCAGGCCTGGGGAGAGGGGCAGCGCCCAGCCCCGAACCGGACCTGCAGGGCCCGGAGGACACTGGAGCAGGAGAGAGCCATGGGGAGTGTCAGCGGTGTGGGCCTCCCCTAACGGGCACCGGAGGCTGACAGACCCAAGGCCTGCTGGCATCTCTTGCTCCGTGCCCCTGGTTGTCTGGGGCAGATCGTGGGGCCTTGCTGGTCATCGGGAGCAGCTTCCAGGCTCAGTGGTCTGGTCACCGGCGCTAGTCCAGCTGCCCCTACGTATGACTGTCCTGAGCTGCGAACTGGGTGGCCACAACCACTGCCGATTACGATGTAGTGGCTCTGGTGGCCAGTGGTCCCAACTCCGGAGCGGGCAGGCCGAGCCGCCGCCTGAGGCTCCGGGATGAGTCTTTCCTCAGCTTCCCACCTCTGGGTCCCAAGCACCCCTTGGCCCGTGGCAGCCTCCCTCCAGTCTCCGCCCCCACCCTCCCCCACCTCCTTCCCCTCTGGGCCCGGGCTCGGGCCTGCTTCTGTCTGTCCCCCACGAGGGCACCCATCCTGGGAGGTGGGACCCACCCAGACAAGCCAGGAGGATCTCATCTCATCGAGAGACCCTTCACCAGTTACATCTGCGAAGACCCTCTTTCCCAATCAGGCCGCCTTCACAGGTCTGGGGTTTGGGACATGGACGCGTCTTTTGGGGGGACCACCATTTACTGGGGGGCTCGTGGGGGCTTCCTCGGGGTTCCGTCACCGCACGTGACTGCAGACTCTTTCTGCCCAGTGTCCACTTGTCGTGTCCACAGCCTTGGGCATTGGTGCCCCGGCAGGTGCCCCTGGCCACCTCCACCTGGCCACAGGGTCCACGCTTCTCCCGGGGTCCCCCCGAGTCAGTCTGCAGCGGGGGGAACCGGAGGAACACGAGACGCGCAGCAAGGCCGGCGGTTGGGACGGTTCCGGAATCTGTTCTCTCCTCCTCTGGGGGAGGTCAGGACTGCCGTCCCCTCCCCCATGGCAGTGGGTGCGTCCCTGGGATGACCCGCCGCCAGAGCCCAGCCCCTGCCTCCTCTCAGAGGGTCAGGTGACCACAGAAGCTCCATCTCCAGTAGACAGAGCAGTCGCCCACCCACCTGGGGCCCCAAAAGGAGGACCAGTTCCCCTGACAGGGAGCCCCGACCTGGGATGGCGCGAGAAGGAGAAGGAAACGCAACCGTGAGCTGAGCAGGCCCTGCTCCCAGCGCTTGCGCGGGCTCTCGCTCTCTCTCTCTCTCTGTCTCCCCCTCTCCCCCCCCCCCCTCGGTGACAGCCGCTAACCGGTGCCAGTTACGAGAAACAGAAACCCATCTCAGATCAGCTGAGAGATCGCAAGGAGTGAAATGCAAATCAAAACCAGAGTGAGAGGCCTCTCCACCCCGGGGAAGGTGGCTGCTCTGACATCAACAAAAAAGGCAGAAAAGAACCAGGGCCGCGGAGGGGTGCGGGGGGACGGGAGCCCCGGGGCCCCCTCGCTGGGGGGCGTGAGCAGGGTGCGGAGCGTGGTGCGGCGGGAGGTGGTGCGGAAGGCCAACCAGAGAAGGACGGTGTGAGCCGGCGATCGCTCCTCTGGGGAGAGGCCCACGAGAACCCGCAAGCAGGGTGGCGACGGGTACTCGCACACCCGTGTTCGCGGCAGCGTTGCTCACCATGGTCCGCAGGCGGGAGCCACCCCGGGGCCCGTCACCCGAGCATGGACCGGCGGACGGCGGGCTCTCCGCGCGACGGGCGGACCGCCGCTCGGCCCCACGCAGGTGGGAAGTCCTGCCACCTGCGGCAGCACACGGGGAAGGACCGGGAAAGCGCGATTTTACGGGAAACGGGCCGGTCACAGTATCGCACGGCTCCTCTTGCAGGAGGAACCCGGCGAGTCGGGTTCCTGGAGGCGGAAAGTGGGAGGGCGGCGCCCGGGGTGGGGGCGGGGAGGGGCGCTGCTGGGTCCCGGACCGAGGAGTGTCAGGCGGGGACGCGCCTGGCGCCCCGGAGCCGTGCACGTACGGCGGCCGAGACGCTGAATGTGCGTCCGGCGCATTTCACCTCGAACTTCAAAACGCTGACAATACCCTCACGGGAAAAGAACCGCAGACCAGACAACCACGGGGAGACTTGTCGTCCGAGGGGCACGCACCCCCTTCACCTTTCTGCCTGCTTTTCTTTTTGGGGGTTTTAAAAAAACTATTTTCACAGCAAAACTTACAAATGAAAAAGGGGAGTCCTGGCTGGTGTGGCCCGGCGGATTGAGTGCCGGCCTGCGAACTCAAAGGTCACTGGTTCGATGCCCAGTCGGGGCACAGGCCTGGGTTTCGGGCCAGGTCCTCGGCTGCGGGCACGCGAGAGGCAACCACACATTGATGTTTCTCTCTCTCTCTCCCTCCTTTCCTCTCTCTAAAAATAAATATTTTTTTTTTTTAAATGAGAAAGTGGAAACCCTGGCTGGCGTAGCTCATTGGATTGAGCGCGGGCTGCAAACCAAAGTGCCGCAGGTTCGATTCCCAGTCAAGGCACATGCCTGGGTTGCAGGCCATGGCCCCCAGCAACCACACATTGATGTTTCTCTCTATATATATCTCCCTCCCTTCCCTCTCTAAAAATGAATAAATAAATAAAATCGTAAAAAAAAATAAATAAAAGAACTGAGGACAAAGACCAGACATGTTTGAAAAAAAAAAATGAGAAGGTGGAAACTGAGCTATCCATCCTGCTTCTTCATGCGCTTCTACTGCAGTGATACGTCCGTGCCCCGGACCACATTCGTCGCCCGTGCTGGTCTGTTCGGGCCGCGGACGGGGTGATGGGTCGACAACAGAAGTTGATTTCTCACAGTTTTACAGGCGGAAAGTCCGAGATCACATGGGTACCAGGTACTGGGAGGGACCTCCTCCCTGGCTCCAGGTGGGTGGGCCTCTCCCCGTGGGCTCCCAGGAGGGGGTAGGGCCGGGAGCTCTGTGGGGTCTTCCCTGAGAGCACTAGTCCCATCGCCGAGGGTGGAGCCCCTGTGACCTGCTCAGCTCCCGAAGGCTCCGCCTCCTCACACGGTGGTCCTTGAGGGTTTCCACACGCGGAACCGTCCGGAACACAGCACCGCGTGCCTTGCTTCGCCCGGTGGGCCGTCAGGGATGTGCTGGGGGAGGGGACATGAGTTGTAGGCTCACCCAACAAACGTGCTCTCTCACAGGGGCTGAAGCAACCCGGGAAAGGTCACACCCAGGGTCCCTGCTGCTCCGGGACGGTATGGAACACTCGGGGCAAACTCGGACCCATGCTGTAGCGGGGACCCACGTCCGGTTGCCCCCAGACTGGGTCTGCTGAACCCCAGCAAACCCACAGAAAGCAGAGCAGAAAATAAACTATGAAGCTGTTGAATGCCATCAGGAGCGCGGGGCTATTTGTTACGTGGCCCAAGAGGGCAATAGCTGACTGATACAGGGACGAACACCCACCCTCCGCAGGAACACAGGGAGGGGCCGAAGGCGGGCCCCGACTCTCCCCTCCGGCCCGGCCCCCCACCTGGGACGCAGAGCCCTTCAGACTCCTTCTCTGCTCCTGCGCGGTGCCCTTCCCGCAGGGCCACCAACCGTTCCCAGGCCCCACGCACCAGGCTTCAGCCACCGCAAGGGAGACCGGCTTCTCTCCCTCAGCTGCAGAAGCCAGCTGATGTGCCCACGGGCTCCAGACATCACCGCGCCGAGGGCGGGCAGGCAGGCGCCGTTCCTCGAGGCGAGGGGGGCGAGGAGGAGGCGGCAGGGGAAGCCAGAGGCGTCGCTGTAACCTGGAGTCTGGCTCTGACGTCTTCTGACCTGGTAACGTGGGGTAGTTGTGTAAGTCAGATGCACCCGGAGAGGCAGCCATGCAGCCACGTCACCCGGCGGGGCCGTCGGGATGTGCCGAAGTCCCGGCACGGAGCGGAGGCTCCAGAAAAACAGAGGCACGCTGTCCGCAGCCCTGGGGAGAGAGTCGGACGGCGGAGGGGGTGCAGGGGGGGCACAGGGAGACGCACCGCCGGCACTGGCCTCCGCCCCCCAGCTTCGGCTGCAGCCTCCTCGCTGAACCCAGCAGAAGGGGCACGTGTGGGGGGCACATCCTCATGCCCTGGGGGGCTGGCTGTCCTCATGTGCTTCCTGAGCTATGCCCTCACTGGCCAACGACACCCCTGGGGTCATCTCCCCTCCCCTGTCCCCCATCCCCAGCTCCGAGTCACTCACTCAGTGCTATGCCCCCCCACTCCCCCCCACACACACCCGAGCCGGCGCAGCCTCTCTGGCCCGCCTTGCGGTCTCAGCCCAGGGCCTGTCACGGCTCATTTGGGCCAGGTGCTCTGCTCCCCGCCCAGCTCCCCGGCGCGAGGCCCGCTCCCTCCGGCCCACACGCCGCACAGCTGCAGGGCTGGGTTTCCAGCCCGGGTCGCCACGTGCCCGCGCGGGTGCTGGCTGTCACGTTCACTGACGCCCAGCAGCCGGGGCGGGGGTTGACCCCTCACGGGGTTCCCCGGGCACCCACTTTGTCCCCCCCCCGGGGGCTGGCAGACACATCAGAGCCTGGGTCCTCAAGTCGGACAAAGAGGGTGTGGGGGTGCAGCACTGACACTCAGCGTCCTCACGTTTATCTGTCTGTTCGTCTGTCCATTCATTCATTCATCCAACAAACCCTCACTTTGCTGAGGTTCAGCCGACCCATCGGGGAACAAGCCCACGCCGGGTCTCCGTGGGGCCCACAGGGGGTTGTCGGAGGATAAAAAAGTCCCTGGAGTGTGCCTGGGACAGGGTCTGGCCCGGAGTAAAGGCTGTGGAGCTGTCTGCCCGTGTGACAAGTCACCGGGACCCTGGAGCAAGCCTGGCCGGGCGCCGAGGGCAGGGCCCGGCTCCTTCGGTCCCGCCCACTCGTACGCAGGGCTGAGCCCCCACCCAACCTTTATTCTCCTATCACTCCCGAGGGCTGCACGGGGGCTGGGGGACGGCAGAGGTGCCGGACTGAGTGGAAACAGACCCCCAGAACTGCGGGCAGCCCACAGGTCCAGCGGGGTGCCGCTCCCCCGAGCACCTGGCCCCAGGAGAGAAGTCCAGCATGCAGAGGGACACGCCCCACGCCCACTCCTTGGGAGGAGGGGCCCCTCTCCTTGGGGAAAGGGGGCCTCCCACCTGGTCTCCTGGAAGAGAAATGGGGCGAGCTGTGGTGGGGGGCACAACGAGCAGCCCCCCTTCTTCCTGAGGAGGGGGGGCGGGACCCCGGCCGGCCGAGGCTGAGCCCCGGGCCTGCAGAGGGCGGGTGGAGCGGGCAGCCTCCCGCACAGGCTGGGCCGGGAGCCCTCTTTATCGTCTGCAGCAAAGCATTTACAGTCAATAAACGGGCTAATTAATTCTCTTCAAAGACCTCTCAATTATTCATCCGGGGCTACACAGAGAGCAATTAGAGCGTGTCCTGCTCATGGCTTCGGACACGCGGCGGCGGCAGGGCTGGGCCACGGTGCCGAGGCCCTGGCCTGTCCGGCCTCAGGGGCCTCCGGGGCCCCTCCGGGGCAGAAGCGGGCTGGCCAGTCTCGGGGGCCCCGCAGACTGGCGCTTCCTTCTCAAACCTGCCAGCAGCCCATGTGGCCACCGCCACTTCTCAGGCGAGGTACACCAGACCCTGAGGGTCAGTCCCCTCTGTCCGACAGCCCGTCAGGGCCACCTGGGAGCACCGTGCCAGGCTCTGGGCCTGCAGCCCACCTGGGGGGGCTTCCAGTGCTGGGCAGGGGGGCCCTGGAGCCTGAGCCGTCTCCGGGACAGAAGTTGTGCTGGGACAGGGCCAGAGGAGGGGCCAGCAGCCGCTGCCCGCACGGCAGGGAGGTCCCCCCGGAGAGCTGGAGCCCGGCGTCAGCACGTCAGGAGGGGCCCTGACCCCAGCCAGCCTCCCCGGGGAGGGGGCCCTGTGTCGGGAACTGGCGTCCTCTCTCCCCTGCAGCTTCCTGGCATCGCTCAAGCCTGCCTGCCGGGGCCTCGAGGGGCAGGGCAGCTGGCCTGCCCCCTGCGCACCTCCCTGCCGCCTCTCCACCCGGGCCCCCACCGCCGCCCTCACTCCCCAAACGCCCCCAAAGAGCATTTGCTGGCAAGCGGAGGGTTAACTCCCAGCTGCTCCCAGACTGCACTGTGGGGGTGGGGGGTGGGGGGCGTGCCTGTCGGGAAGTATGGATTTCTGCAGTGGTTTTACTGGAAAAGCTGTAGCTGAAGGTGGGAGGGGGTCACCATGGCAACTTCTGGCTAAGGGAACAGGTTGGCTGCTGGGGACCAATTCTTCCAGGGGCCCAAGGGGGCCCGGCGGGCGCTTGGCGCCTAGAGGCCGTACAGCTGCCTCCCTGGAGTCCTCACCCTTTCGGAGAAGCACAGAGACGCTCCCAGCCGGGAATGCCCGCCTTCCCTGCCTCCCTCCAGCGGCACACAGGTCCCCAGGGCTGGGCCCCTGCCTGCCGCGCTGCCGCCCCAATCGCGGCGCCCCCCACACCCGCTGTTAGTCCAGGGACCAGTTACCCAGCGGCCGCCAGGGAGCTGGCGGGAATCTCCCTCCGGAAGGAGCTTTACCTCTGGAAAGAGACTCGCCTCCAGGGCCTGGGATGAGATTTAGGGAGTGGCCTCCGTGAGGCTGCCCTCTCCGCCGCCAGGCCCTATCCGGGGAGTCTAGGATTCCAGGGCGCTCAAGAGCTCACCCCGCGACCCCCAACGGGAGGATTCGGGCCTAAGCGGCCAGTTCAAGGAAGTCCTCCCAACCCCCCAGGCCAACACTGCCCCCCCCTCCCCGCGAAGGACCTCCGGAATCCTGGAGTGGGGTGGGGACAAGCAGAAGCAGCCCCCAGGCAAGGGGGACCCTGGGTGCACCTCCAAATCCGACGCCCCCGCCCACTCGCCACCCCGGAGGGAATTCCAGGCGGCTGGGGTCGCCGCGGCCCAGCGCCCCACCCCGCCGAGGCGGCCCCCAGTCGTTTGCTCGCGACCCTCTGCAGCTCCCCGCCTGGGCGCGGCCAGGACCCTACAGTTGGGGCCCGGGAGCTGCGGACACTGCGGGTGGAAGGGGTCTGGGACTCCTGGGGTCCTCCAGGTTCAGGTTCCCGGGGCTCCTCGGGGCGGAGGCATTGGCCTCGGAGCCCGCCCCCCCCCATGCAAACCCTGCAGGCGCAGGGTGGGCGAGCGCGAGGGAGGCGTTGTGTGTGCGCGCCCGGGAGGCGCTTCCAGGAATCGGCGAGGGCGCTGCCCCAACGTCCAGGAAGGGAGGGCACACCGAGGGCACAGGCAGCGGGGGGCGGGGGGGCGGCCACGTGAGGGGCAGGCTCGGCCCCCACCCGCTCGGGCCCACAGGGGAACCGCTCGCCGCTTGGCGGGAGGTCCCGTGACGGGGGACTCCCCCGAACCTCCATCTGCTCAGCCTCCGAGGGGTGAGGAGCGCCCAGCCGACCGCGGGTGCCCGTCCTGCTCGCGGGTGCGGGACTCACGGGCGCGGCCGTTCTCGCCTCCCCCCACTCCCGTTAGGAAAACCTTGGGACCCCCTTTAAGGCCGCTTGGGTTGCTGCCGCGATGAGGCTCTGCGCCCTCCTTTTCGCCCACCCGGACGCACCGCGAACAGCCGCCGCCGCCGGCGGGGTCCACGCGGGTCTGAGCCGTGGAGTGTACCTGCCCCAGGTGTGGCCTCCCGCGGGCCCACGCCCGGCTCCCGCTCCCCGACGACGCCCACCAGCGCCTGAAAGGCTTTAACCGAACGCGGATTGGGATCCTCCCTGCCCTGCCCCCGGGCCTGTGTAGGGGGCGCCTCGGCCGGCTTCCCGGCTCCCGCAGCTCCAGTCAGGTCCCCTCCCCGCCCCCGCGCCGCCCGGGGCATCCATCTAGCGCTCTCGGGTCTCGGATCTGCCGAATCCCGATACAACATTTGGGGGAGATAAGTGCTGCGCATAAATAATTAAGACCACATGCATATCGCCAACAACAAAAAAAAAAGTTTAAAACCCCCATTCCGGGAACAGCGGCGAGTGTGGGGCCCGGGCGGGGCTGCGGAGACCCGCCCCACCCCCCGCTCGCTCCGCCCCGAGCAAGCCCGGCCCCCAGGTCCAGGGTGGCCGTCTCCCTGCGGGGCCCAGGCGGAGAGAGCGACGGCGGCGGAGGGGCTCTGCGCCCAGGGTGGGGCGGGCAGACCCCCCCCCCCGCACCATGGGGGTGCACATGGTCCACGTGCCCGCCCCAGAGGCCCAGCCCTTAAGCAGGGACCCCCCCAACCCCAGTGCCAGGAGGGCCCCCCCTCCCCCGCCCTCCGGCCGCCCGTTGGTGCCCAATAAATATTTCCTGAACAAATGAATGAAGGAGCCAATGAGCTGACTGATTCCAGATTCCGGGGGCGTGTCTGTCCTGAGCCCCGGCCGCGCCCCACCCCTCCCCCCGCGGCCGGCGGACTCCTGTCCCAGGTGCAGCCGGAGGGCCTCAGGTGGGAAGGCTGGAAGGGCTTCTGGCTGCCCGCCTGGCCGCCCTGGGCAGCAGGGTCAGCGCGGGCCTGCCCAGCGGGGCCGGGCCTCCCCATATACATCCTCTTCCTCTCTGGGTCCCCTTCCCATCCCCGGAAGGAAGCCCTCACGCCCCCTCCTCTCCACACTCGCATCCCCGTCTGGTCCTGGTCCGCGCAGGTGTTTCCTCAACCTTCACCAGGTTCCGGGCTTTGTGCTAGGGGTCCCAAGGACAGATGTGCAGGCCTTGCCCTCCGGTGGCCCTCGGCCCGGTGAGGGACACGGGCAAGTGACCAATGGCAAGGGCTGCTCAGAGGTAAGCCAGGTGTAAAGAAACAGGGAGAGAAGGGTGTGTCTTGGCTGAGGGGTGAAGACCATCACGGACGCCCTTCTAGGCCAAGGGCGCCAGCCGGGCGGAGTCTAGAAGATGGACGGGCTCCTGGGTGCAGAAGAGGAGGACAGCTGGGCAGGGCCTCCAGGCCCATCGGGCACTGCCCCCTGCTGGCTCCACGCTCACCCGTGGTGCCCACAGCCAGACCACAGAGGCCTGGGTTCCAAGCCTCCTCCTGCTGCTTAGCAGCAGGGACTCCAACTTCCAGACCTCTGTTTGCTCACCTGTAAAACGGGGACCGCGGCCCCAGCCATGCAGAGCCCCTGGGCATCCACCTCAGCGGGAGACGGCGCCCCGCTCCGGCCCCCCAGCACAGGCCGGCAGCCCTCCCAGGGGCCCAGTGGATAGAGACTGGTGGGTGGGTTGAGACCGGGGCGTGTTCCTCCTGGGCGGCCTTGCCTCAGGACGACGGGTCCCGGCAGGGAGCCCCTGGCCTGGGTCACGTGCCACACAGGCCCCGCAGATGCCCGACCAATGAGTGTCCGTGGAACTCATGTCTCTGGCGACAACGCTCCTCCCGGGGGACCCAGGGCCGGGGAGACACGTGTGTGGGCTCTTGCAGGCGCCGCTGCGGGCGCTGTCGCCCGCTCCGAGGAAGGGGTGCCTGGTGCCCGAGCAGAGAGCCGGGCCACGGCGGCCTCCCGACACCCCCGGCCGTGGCACCTCCGCCCTGTCTCTGCTCCCGACGGGAACAAGCCGCCCCCCCCCCAGAGAGGCCTCCTGCTCCTCAGACCTCCTGTCACCCCTGTCACTCCAGCTCGAGGCCTTTCCTGGCAGCCAGCCCTCCAGGTCCCCGAACGCAGGGCCTTGCTTCATCCCGCCGTGGCGGACTTTGGGCTCCGCACGCAGGTGCATGGATGAGAAATCACCCACCCAGGAGGCCTGGACTTCAGACCTCCCGCTGCTCGTCACCAGGGCCAGGCGCCCGGCGGTCGGAGCCTCACGAGCTCGTAACCCTGACGCACGGTCAGCCCGAGACCGAGACCGCAAGTTGCCATGACTCTGAGACTCTGTCCCCTGCGTTACCAAACACTCACATTGCAAAAGGCTGAAATTTAGATACAAAGCACAGATCCTCCTCCCGGCCCCCGTGGACCGGGCAGTGGAGTTTCCTTCGGAGACCTTGGCCTGCCCAGCATGTGGGGTCCCCGGCGCCTCCCCGACTTTGGTCCGGTCCCCAGCCTCTCAAGTTCCAGCCTTCCTTCTTCCGAGGGCCAGCCTGCCCGCGGCTGGGGGCCACGCCAGCATGCCCGGAGGGCCCCCTGGCCAGAGCCACCTTGCAACCTCTGCAGGATGGCGGGGGGGGGGGGGGGACGACAAACTGGACTTGTCCGTGGCACCGGGGACAGAAACAGGCCGACCAGGGACCAGATAACAGAAGGATTGGGGTTCCTTATAAGACAGATTTCCCGGATGGTCAGGACACAGGACGAGGGTGCTCTTCAGCCCTGGATAACCCGGGTTCGGATCCTGCCTCTGGGGTCAACGGCAGATGGGGAGGCTGGATCCAGAGCCACCGTAGATGCCGGCGGCTCTCTGCCAGGCCCGAGCGGCGGTGGAGGAGCCCTGGTGCCCCGGCTTTGCGGGACCATGAGCCCCAGGCTGGAGCCAGTGGGCCAGCCTCCTCGTTGGGTCCTTTGTGCCCAGCACGGGGTGAGCGTCTGCGGGACAGGACCCGGCCCCAGACAGGCCACCGGGGCCACGCCTCCCGCCTGACCCCTCTGTCCTCCCCGCCTGGGGGGCTGAGGGCCCAGGGCAGAGGCCCTGGGAGCCGGCGAGGGCCGGACCAGCGCGGAGCTGACCCAGCACTTCGGCCCAGGCGCAGTAACAGGAAACGGGAGGCCGATGCCAGTAACTAGCAGATCCGAGAGATTAGAGGCCTGCTGCCCGGGGTGGGGGACGCGTTCCTGGAAGGAGGGAGCTGCAGCGGTAAATACCGCCAGACCCCGGGCCTGTCCCGGGCCAGAGCCTAGCCGAGCCCTCGCTGCGACCCCGGGAGGGGCGGGGTGGGGGGGCAGGGGCCATGGGGCGGGGCAGGGCTGGGGGGTGGGCCTGGGAAGGCAGGGGTCCAGCGGGCCGGCCTGAAAGGCCAAGGGTCTCCCAAGCTCTGCAGAGGGTCCCCTGGGCCCAGCCCCCAGCCCCCCACCGAGGCCCTTGAAGAGGGGACCCAGCCCTGGGCGTGCTGGACTCCCCCCACCCTCCTCCCTGCCCCCGCCCTGCGGCGGGTTCCTGGAAGGCTGGCTGCTTCCCAGCAGAGCAGAGGGAGCCCGGGGCGCCTGTCCCAGTGGGCTGCCCAGGGTTCCGCCTGCTCCTCCCACCGGGCGCCAAGCCTGGACCCTGGGCACTTCTGCCTCCGGGGACCCCCAGCAGCCCTTAAGACCTGGAGCTCCCTGTGGCCCCTCCCCACCGGACTCCAAGCTGTGGGTGCCTCGTGGCAATGGTCACGCCTCCAGCACCTGCAACCCCAAGAGGCTGGGCACCCTCCCCCCCCCCACCTGGCACGGTGCGGGAGGGACCCTGAGAGGCAGCAGCGGCCTCCCACCGCCGAGGGGGGCAGCTGAGGGCCGGAGGGGCAGTATCGGCAGAGGGAGGGATCTCCAGCCCCGCCACAGAGGAGGGGCGGGGTGGGGCGGGGCTGCACCTGCCGTGCACCAGGGGCCCTGAGGCTCGCGGGGCTGAAGGCCTGCCCGAGGCCGCCTTTCACTCCCTCCCAAGGCCTCCCACCTCCCGTGCTCCCCTCCGCGTCAGCCCCAGGCAACCACTCCTGGCCCCGGTCGGGACCCCGAATCCCACCCTGCTGGCCCGGGCCCCCGGGCACAGTGGCCACCGGGGAGCAGCCGAGTGGCCCGCAGTCCCGGGTGGAGGGAGAGCGGCTGGGGAGTCAGGCGGGCAAACACCCACCCCGGGGAGCTGCAGGGTGCGCTGGCAGTGGTAAGGAGGTAGCCAGTCCACCGGTGCAAACTTCCTGGGAAGGGCAGCACTCCCCAGCTCCAGAAGACCACCGTGACCTTGAGGAGCGGAAGGAGCTCCTGAGGCACAGGCCTGGGGTGGGGGCGGGGGTGGGGGTGGGCGGGAATACGAGTAACTACAGAAAAGGGAGAATCTGCCATCCGTCGCGCATCTGGCACGGGAGCCGTCCTCGCGGCGAGGGGCTTCTCGGCGCGCTGTCGGAAAAGAGCAGATGAAAAGCAAAAGATAAGCGCCTGTCATCCGCCCAGAGGGCTCGGGTTGCGAAGTCTGATAAGGCTCAGTGACGGGGACGGTGACAGGTGACGGGAAGACCTCGAGTAAGTCACGCTGGAGATGCCTATCGGGCCCCAGCGGCTCCGCCCCAGGCGGCCGCCCGCCACACAGACAGGTGCTCCCAGGAGTGAGCCCACCCGACAGCCAGCGCAGGTCCCCAACGGGCGGAGCGGGTCGTCAGCTGCGGCCCAGGCACCCTGGGGAGAAGCACACGGCCACACGAGGTCAACACGTGTGAATCTCATGGGCTTAACGGCCCCCCCCCCCACCGAAGGAGCCGGACACACAAGGGGACGCGCCCAGTCACCTTGTGTCAAGTTCAGAATCCCGAAGCACTCGGCCATCACTAAGGGACCCACCACGGTGGCGAAACCATAAAGAAAAGCGGGAACCGATCACACAAGCCGGGCGGCAGAAGTGAACGCCCGAGAACCTTCTGGAATCCTGGCCACGGTCTGTGTCGTGACCGGGGCGCCAACCCCAGGGAAGTTCGTCTTATATTTATTTGTAAAATGCAATATGCGTCTGTGCATGTTGGGTGGCAGCTCATAACTTAAAAAAAAAAAAAAGAAAAAAGCACAACCCAAACCCAAGTGGACGGGAAGACCCTCGTGCGGGACTCCGTGCGTGCGCCCGCCCGGCCCCGGCCGTGCCCTGCCCCGCCCCGTCCGGGAAGGGAGCTCCGCGGCTCTCCCTGGGCCGGGACAGTGCGGGTCCCTCAGCTGCCTGGCCCCAGGCCAGCGTGGGCTGTCC